GGCATTGCCTTGTAGGTTACTAATTGCTCTTCTCTTGCTGCTTTTAAGATTCTCTATTTGTCTTTAACCTTTGGCATTTTAATTATGATGTGTCTTGGTGTGTCCTCTTTGAGTTCCTCTTGTTTGGGACTCTCTGTGCTTCCTGGACTTGTCTATTTTATTCCATCAGGTAAGGGAAGTTTTCTGACATTTTTTCAAAAAGATCTTCAATTTCTTGCTCCCTCTCTTCTCTTGGCACTCCCATGCTGTGAATGTGGGTAAGCATTAAGTTATTCTAGAGGCTTCCTACACTTGTCTTCATATTTTTGGATTTCTTTTTCTTTTTGCTATTCTGAATGGGTGTTTTTTGCTTCCTCATATTCTAAATCACGGATTTGATTTTCTGTGCCTGCTACTCAACTGTTGACTCCCTGTAAATTTTTCTCAATTTCAGTTAGAGTACCTGTCCTTCATTTCTGATTGGTTCTTTTTTATGGTTTCTAAGTCTTTTTCATGTTGTTGAAGTTCTCGCTAAGTTTCTTGAGCATCCTTATAACCATTGTTTTGAGGTCTGTATCTGGTAGTTTGCTTGCTTCCATTTCATTTAGTTCTTTTTTTGGAGATTTCTTCTTTTCTTTCCTTTGTGACATGTTTCTTTGCCTCCACATTTTGGCTGCTCCCAGGTGTTTGTTTCTGTGTATTAGGTAGAGCTGCTGTGTCTCCTGGTATTTGTAGAGTGGCTTTGTGTAGTAGGTGTCCCGTAAGGTCCAGTGGCTCAACCTCCCCAGTCACCTGAGCTGGGCCTTCTAGGTACTCCCTTGTGTGGGCTGTGTGCACTGTCCTATTGTAGTTGAGCTTTGGTTGCTATTGGTGTCACTGGGAAGGATTGATTCCCCAGGGCAATTGGCTCTGAGGACCAGTTGCAACTACAGCAGAGGAGCTGCTATGCAGGTGTTGATGCTGTGGAGCAGAACTTGCTTCAGTGGGGCTTTGGTGCTTACTGAGTCTGCCCCTTGAGAGTGTTGCTCATGGAGGTGATAGGGTTGTAATATGACATGGTCTGAAGCTGTTCACCAGGCGCACTGGCTCTGGGGCCTTCTGGGAGGTGCAAAGTTAGCCACTGCCTGTGCCCTGGCTGGTGCCACCTGGCACAAACTATTGAGCGATCTGCCGATGGCTGCTACTTGTCATGGTTTTGGAGGTCAAAACCTCCTCCCAGGAGAGGCCAAGCTGTGAACCAAGGTGGGCTGCGGCTAGTGCTGGGCCTGGGGCCACTTAGCGAGAGGTATGGAGCAAGCTGAGGCCAGCTGCTGCTTGTTTGAGAGATTTTAGGAAAGTCTGAAGCATGAGGCAAGAAAGGCCAGTTGTATGGAAAAACCACTGGAAATGGCTTGGATGTTCCTGCAAGTTGGTGATCTGGGATCTCAGGAAGTTACCAGGGTGGGGCGAATAATGTGAGCCAGGTTGATGGAGACTCAGATATGGCACTTCCCTGTTGGTGCTGTGGTGTGGAGGACTCAAGGAACAATGGCTTCTGCCAGCACTTTTGTTTGGGAGAAAGCTGTCCTCCACCCCCCACCAGCTCTTGCCCTGATGCCAGACGATTTAGTTCCTTCCTGTATGTCCCTGGTTCCTTTCAGGCTGCTGTCCTAATACTGGAGCTCAGTGGGAGTGAGTCCAAGTAAGTCTGTGATTGGGCCCTTGTAGATAACTGCTTGGGCCTCCAGCATCCTCCGTGTCTCTTAGCCACAATCCCCACTTTTTTTACAGCCTAAAGTTATGGAGACTTCTCTTCCCTGCCCTGGAACCCTGAGCTCAGGGGTCTGGTTTGGGGCTGGGACCCTCACTTCTCAGGGGCTGGGACCTCTGCAACCAAGATATCCCTCCCGATTTAGAACTGCCACACATGGGTGTGGTTCCAGCTCGTTCCACACCTCTGCACCTCTGCCCCTACTACCAGCCTTGATGTGACTTCTTTAATTTTCTAGTTGTAGGACTTCCATTCAGCTAGATTTCAGGTGATTCTGAATTATGGTTGTTCTGAAGATTAGTTGTATTTTTGATGTGTTTGTGGGAGGATTCTAGTACCATGTTTACCTACGCTGCCACCTTGACCAGAAGCCTATTCTAAGTCCTTATATAACTTTTATTAATTTCTGTGGTAGATAAGCGTTTAGCTCTTATACTCAGTCTCCAGTTCCCTTTTGACTGTTTTTCCAATATAATTATTTCACATTTTTTATTAAGTCAGTGTTTATATTATTATGACTGTAATTTTTTTTCCTCTTTACTGCAGAGTTAAGTAGGCTTCTATGAAATGATCAAATATATTAAATCTTACTAATTCCAGTTTTTGTTCTGGAGTTAGTGACCTAAGTTTTTTGCTTTTACTTTTCTGTGTACCTATTCTTATTTTTTTCTATGCTTAGTTGGATTTATTTTATACTTTCATTTTAAAAGTGGTCAAATATATCAAATAATTAGCTGCTTTTATTTTTTTTTCTATGGAGACTTCACTTCCAGAACTTTTTGTGTGTGTGATTTTTTTTGTTTTTTTACTCCAGTCTAAACTGTGGTTGGTTGATGTCTAGACTTGCTCCTTTGCTTTCATCTTGCTTTTTCCCCATACCCACTTTCCTTTATTGGCTCTTCTTTCCTGAGATAACTGTCTAAGAGTATAATTGCTAGGTCATATGGTGATTGTATATTGTTGTTTTTTTAATTCTCACCTGAGGATGTTTTTATTGATTTTAGAGAGGGGGGGGGGGGGAGAGAGAGAGAGAGAGAGAGAGAGAGACAAACATTAATGGGAGAGAAACATCTATTGACTCCTGTATGTGCCCCAAGCGAGGATCGAACCCTTAACATGGGTATGTGCCCTGACTGGGAATTGAAACCGGGACACTTCGGTATACAGGACACTACAACCATCTGAGCAACACTGGCCAGGGCTGGTGACTGTATGTATAGTTTCTTCTTCCTTATATTCTGTTTTGTTAGAGCAGTGATTTTTAACCCATGTGCCACAAGAATTTTTAAAACATGCAGTACCTGACTCTTTAGTCAGAGGAACTGACTATTCTTTTCTCTTAGATTGTCAAATTAAAAAAATGACAGCAGCACATAACAATAGCCATCTGGTGTGAATGCATCAAAATTATACCTATCTTTTTTGGTGTGTCATAGAATTTTAGTAATTACTTTGTGTGTGTCATGAGATGAAAAGGGTTGAAAGTTGTGATAGAGCATAGAATTCTAAGTTGGAAATAATTTTACCTTAGAATTTTTAATGCAATGTCTTTCTGATTACTAGAAATGCTACTAAGTAGTTTGATATTCTTACTCCTTTCAGTTATTGCTAAATAATATTTTTCTTTGGACATTTTTAGATATCTTTATCTTTCTGTTTAAAAATGTAACAATGATTTGCCTTGGTATGGATCCTCTCTTTCATTCATTTTCTTAGATACTCGATAGGTTCTTTTACTTTGAAGGCTTGTGTTCTTTAATTCTAGGGCTTTTTAAAAACTTTTTTGTCTTTATTCTTTCTTTCCTTGTGTTATGTCATTTTTTCTCTCTAGGATGGTCTTGTCAGTCTGGTTGCATTTCCTAGAGCAGAAATTGACAAACCTTTTCTTAAAGGGCAAGATGGTAAATATTTTAGGCTTGTGGGCCTTCACAGTTATTGTTGCAAGTATTCAGCTCTGCCATTGTAGTGTGAAAGTAGCCACAGACAGTATTAAACTGATGGGCCAGGCTGTGTTCCAGTAAAACTTTTATTTCTAAAAATAGGTAGCCAGGCCAAAGTTTGCCAAGTCCTATCTTGAATGATTCTCTTATTTTCTTAAATTTTTCATATTGTTACATCACTTTGACTTTTTGTTCCCTATTCTGGAAAATTTCCTCTACTTTCTCTTTTGTCTTTTCTAGTAAAATTCTTATCTTGGATATAATTTTTAATTTCTAGGAGCTTTTCTTTGTTCCTTATTCATAGCGTCCCATTCTTATTTTATGTATGCCATACCTTTTTCCTTATTAATTATACCCTTTTAGGACTCATTTTCTCATATTAACAATGTTTTGTGCTTTTTCACCCCCGGAGTATTAGAATTGGTCTCTTTTGTGTTATGGGCTTTCCTTAATTATCGGTAGGTCCTTGGCTGTTAGTTCACTTAGGAGTGGGGTCCTTAAAAGCTGCTTGGAAGCACTGTTAGTATGAATGACCTTCAAATTCAAATGATCAGCTAGCTTGGTGTTGATGTATTCCAACTGACAGAATTCTTTTATGTAGGGCTATTCACTTTCTCCACTCTCTTGCCTGGTAGCGTCCCAGCCTGGATATGAGTGTAAGACGGGATAGGACAGGGAGAATGGGGCAGGGTATTTTCATTGTCTGTCATTCAGATTTTTATTTATTTATTCTCTGTTTTTAGTCCTGTGCCTTACCTTGCCTTCCAGGGTGTGGGATTTCTAAGGGTGAGTCACTGTGTCTCTCTATAGATATTTCTGTGGGTCCTAGCTTCTCTAATTGGCCGAGTCAACCAAAACCCTTCTGTTTTTCTCTCTGCCAAAATGGGTTCAATTCTCTCTGTCCACTTATGTCTCTGCTGTCACTTTTGGGTTTGTACCGATTAGTTTCTTTTTTTATTTTAATGAGGCTGTTGGATGGAGTGGCATCAAACATGTTTTATCAACCTACCATGTTAAACTGGAACTTAAGAGATTTATTTTGAACATCTTTTGGGAAGTGAGTAGTAGAAAATTTCATTTATAGCTAGATTTTTTTGGTGCTGTACTTTTCTCTTTTTTGAATGGAAATATTTCCATAGTAACACATACTTATTATTAAAAATATTATATGATATGGAATTATGTGGACTAGATAATGAAAAGCTCGATGTACCTCCCCCCGGACAGTAACTGACACCCACCTTCTGACTGCCAGGCTTTGTACATACACATAAACACTGCCCTCACTTTTTCTTTTTCTTTATTTTACTTTTTTGTTTAATTTTCTTCAGGTCACCAGGAAACCTAGAGAAGAACCGCTATGGGGATGTACCCTGCCTGGACCAAACAAGAGTGAAGCTGATAAAACGAAGTGGCCACACTCAGGTAGACAGATAAATTCCATCTTTCCAGGAGCACTGAAGGAAATTTATGCCTTACGAAGTGAAGTTCACTAATACCATAGTTGAAAGAACATGGATTCTAAGCTAGAGACATACTGTTTGAGTTTTAATGTTGCCACATACTAGTCTATTGTTACCATAGGCAAGTCCTTATATGCCCATCTTGTAGTTTTAAGTGGCAATTAAATGAAATACTTTATACTGATAGCACAAGGTCTGGTATATTGTAGGTGCCTGATAAATGTTCATTTATTGCCCTGGCTGGTGTAACTCAGTTGAGCGCCATCCCATGTGCCAGACGGTCACCAGTTCCTAGTCAGGGTACATCGAGGGGCTCGATCCCCAGAGGAGGAGTGCAGGAGGCAGCCAATGGAAATTTCTCTGTCATCGATGTTTCTCTCCCTCTCTCTCTCTCTCTTTCTCTCTCTCTCAATTCCTCTCTCTGAATCAATAAAAACATTTAAAAAAAAAAAAATCACATATATTAATAAAGATATTTAGTGAAAATGTTGTTCAAACATTTAACATCAGTGTTTTTGTCCTCATTTGGATCTACTTTTTGAGTCAATATAACAGTTTTACAGAGTACGTCGTTTTTATTTCCTTTTAAGTACATGGTGGTGTCACCGGAAAGCTTATTCTAAACCAGAAAAATCTATTAGCATAACATTAGCACAGTTTTTTCTTTTCATTCATCCTCAACCTCATGCATCATCTGTAGTATAATCATTCACTTACTCCTTTTTAAAGTCGTCCTTAATATGACTTGTTTACAGCAACATCCAAACACTTAGAATTTTGAGGTCAGTGACTAAAAAAGTATTACTTTTTTTCTTTTTCCTTCTGTTATATCAGTTCTGTCTGATAACTTCTATACATATAAAAAAACAGCATTGATTGAGGTTCAAAGTAAAGGAATTTAAATAATACCCTTAACTTTAACATGATATACATGGAATTATTATCTCCCCTCTCCTCTTTCTAGAGTATAAGTTTTTGGAAAATCATTGCCTTGTATATAGTGCATGGATCCTGACCCTAAGTTTCATTCTCTTTTGACTCTAATGTTTCAAGCACATAAATTGAATTCCTTTCTAGGACCCTTACAAAGGGTTTTCTTGCAGGAGCATTAATTAAGAGCCTGGCTAACTGAGGGCAAATTCATCAGTATTTTTGAAATTGTCATAGTATAGGCTATGAACAAGCGGAGTGTAATGGCTTAAGTTGGGGCTCTGGAGTCAGAGATACCTGTATTTATCTGTCTTGAGTGCTCTGTCTCCAATACTTAGAACAGTGCCTGGTACACACCAGACATTCATTAAATTATTTGCGAAGGAATGGGTGAATCCCAGTGTACCAGGCGACTTCTAGTTGTCCTATAATTAATCTGAAGATCATCACTTGAGCTATAATCCCTCTCATTACATAAACATTGGCAGAGGCTTTATTTCCATAGTAAATGGAGGATTCAGGTGAATTGTTCACCAGATTTGCTCCTGGGATTATAAAGCTATTATTCATAGTTTCTATTGGATATTCAGGTAGTAATGGAAGCCTGGGTGTGTAGCCCATGCTATTGATGGTCCTAGATATGAGGTATAGCTTTCTTCCTTTTTCAGTCACACTTTGCCTTTTATGTGTGGCAGTATTGATGGGATGTCTTGCTCAGTTTGCTTGGCTTGCCTCCCATTTGTTTCTGAGCTGTAGTTCTGCAAGTTCCCCCCTTTTTTGGTAAATAACAGCTTTATTGATACATAATTGAAATACCATACACATTACTCATTTAAAGTGTATAATTCAATCTTTGTTTGTCGTTTTTTTAAATGTATTCGCAGAGTTGTGCAGCCAACACTACAATCAACTTTTTTATCACATGAAAAAGAAACTTCATTTTCCTAAGTAGGATTGCTGGGTCATGTATTAACTGTGTTTAACATTTTGAGGAACTACCAGACAAAGTGACTAAAACATTTTACATTTACACTAGCAATGAATGAGGTTTTCAATTTTTCCATATCTTTACCAACATTTGTTATCTATCTCTTACCTATATCCATCCTAATGGGTGTGAAATGGTATCTCACTGTGGTTTTATTTATTTATTAAAACATATTTTTATTGATTTCAGAGCGAGAGGAAGGGAGAGGAAGAGAGACAGAAACATCAATGATGAGAAAGTCATTGATCGGCCGCCTCCTGCACGCCCCACACTGGGGATCGATCATGCAACCCAGGCATGTGCCCTTGGTCTTTTCAGGCAGATGATTTAGCAGGAGTGTTCTCTTTGGCTCATGAATTGATCCAGCACCTGACCAGGAATTGAACTGCAATCTCCTGGATCATAGGTCCATGCTCAATTGCTGAGCGACGCCCGGCTGGGCTCACTGTAGTTTTAACTTGTACATCTTCCTAGGAGAAATAGTTTTTTTGGCCATTTTAAAATTGGGTCTTTACCCTGGTGGTGTGGCTCGGTTGGTTGGATCGTCGTCCGTGCATTGGAAGGGCGAGGGTTCAATTCCCAGTCAGGACACATGCCTGGGTTTTGGGTTTGATCCCCAGTTGGGGCATATGCAGGAGGCTACCGATCAATGTGTCTCTTGCATCGATGTTTCTCTCTCTTTCTGTCTATATCTCTCCACCCCCCTCCCTCTCTAAAATCAGTATAAAAAAATTAAAATAAAATTGAGTTGTCTTTTTACTATTGAGTTGTGAGAGTTCTTTTATATTCTAGGTACAGGTCTCTTATCAAATATATGCATCCTGTGGGTTGTTTTTTCACTTTCTTAGTGGTATCATTTGAAGCGTCAAAGTTTTCAATTTTAATGCAGTTGAATTTATGTTTTTTTTCTTCTGTTGCTTCTGCTTTCGGTGTCATATCTAAGAAGGCCATGCCTAACCCAATGTCAAAAAGATTTAATCCTATATATTCTTCTAGTTTTATAGTTTTAGCTCTTATATTAGGTCTGTGATCCATTTTGAGTTAGCTTTTGTGTATGGTGTAAGGAAGGGTTCAGCTTGATTTTTTTCTTTTTCTGCATGTGGATATACAGTTGTTCCAGCAACATTTGTGGAAGTGCCATTTTGAATTGAATTAGCCTTTTTGCTTCTCTCTCTTTTTTTCCCTGACAAGAAAATATCCATACCCTGGGTTTTATTTACCTACTAGTATATCATTTTCCCACCTAAATACTGTATTCCACACAGCTGCAATGATATTTCCTTTTTGTCATTAGACAGATTACATCAATGCCAGTTTCATGGATGGCTATAAGCAGAAGAATGCTTACATTGGCACACAAGGTAAGTTACTCCGCCCCTCACAAGATGGTTTTGAGTCATCTACCTGTGATTCTTTGCACCAGACGATAGCATAATTCTTAAAGGAAATGGGCACTTGATGTGATGTTGTGGCCACTAGATCTTGCCCTTTCATGAAGATTGGGGGTTATTGAGGAAGGCAGATAAGAAGTGTAGGGTTTCTGTATCAATGTGCCTGGAAACTCACTGCATAGAGATAAATTGGAGATTTCAACACACAACACTAGTACAAGTTTTTGGACTGTGTCTTAGTATTGCCAACCCAAGGGGATGGGACATCAGAAGGACTCATTGGCCAATTAAATGCTCTTTATGGCCAGTAGAAGGCCAGGAGTGGCAATGTGACTTCCCAGAAATTGAGTCCAATCTATGAATGGGTGTTGATGTCCTGAGAAGCTTTGATGATCCCTGTACCATTACAGAGCACCTCAGCAGTCTTCTGACAGCTCTAATGGGATTTCAGATGGAGTTTTTATAAATGCTGCTGCATGCCCAGTAATTCTTCTGACCTGGCCTCTGCCATCTCAAGGAGAATAGGTTGCCTTCTAAGAGGGTAGAAAGAAATCACAACACAGGAGGACATAATAGACCCCTATATAGGCTTAAGGTCCTTTCACCATTGCAGAACATTGCCAGCAAAAGATCTGGTGGATACTTCCTTCACCAAGTAATCAACCTTAGTAGCACCAATAATGGACAGATATAATATGCCTCCAGTTGTGAGAACTTTACCATATAACCTATGTCGTATGTTGCCAGTTTTTAAGTCTGAATCTAGTCACAAGAAACAACCCAGACAAATCTAGACTCTGGGACATACAATAAGNAGAAACAAACACCTGGAAGCAGCCAAAATGTGGAGGCAAAGAAACATGTCACAAAGGAAAGAACAGAAGAAATCTCTAGAAGAGGAACTAAATGAAATAGATCCAAGCAAGCTAACAGATACAGAGTTCAGAATTTTGTGTATAAGGATGTTTAAGCAGACTGTTAGGGAAAAAACTGAGAAAATCAATAACATAATAAAGTGCCAATTTGAAATGAAGGCTACATGAACTGAAATGAAGAATAATTTACAGGGAATCAACAGTAGAGTAGAGGATGCTGATAATCAAACCAGCAATTTGGAATATGAGGAAACAAAAAATACCCAACCAGAAGAGCAAAAAGAAAAAAGAATCCAGAAATATGAAAATAGTAGAATTGACCTCCAGGCCAATCAGCTATGAGGACCAGCTGCAACTATAGCCAAAGAGCTGCTGTACTGGAGACACCCCTATGGAGCAGGATTTACTTCAGTGGAGCTTTGGTGTGCCCCTTGAGTGTGTCACTCGTGGATGTGGTAGGGTTGTAATCCAGCGTGGTCGAGTCTGACCACCAGGTGCGCTGTCTCTGGGGCCTCCTGGGAGGTGCAAAGTCAGCCTCTGCCAGTGCCTTGCCCAGGGCCACCCAGCATGAGCTACACAACAAACTGTAGTTGGCTGCTACTTCTGCTGGGCTTGGAGCTGTCCAGGAGAGGCCAAGCTATGAGCCAATGCAGGCTGCCTCTAGTGCCAGGCCTGGGGCCACTTATCAAGCCATAGGGGGCACTCTGCTGCTTGTTTGAGAGATTTTAGGAAAGTCCTAAGCATGAGGCTCGAGAGGCCACTTGAATAGCAAAGCTGCTGGAAATGGCTTGGATGAGCCTGCAAGTAGGGAGGGGCGAGGTGTCTGGGAATCACCTGGGTGGGACCAAAGGTGTGAGTCAGGTGCTGGCGATTCAAATATGGTGCCTGCCTGCCGGCTCTGTGGGGGGAGGGCTCTCCACAGGTGCAGTGGCCTCTGCCAGCTCTTCTGTCTGGGAGAAAGCTGCCCCTCCACCTTTTCCCCCAATTTCAGGCAGGTTAGTTCCTCTTCAAATGTCCCAGGTTCTTTTCAAGCTGCTGCCCGGCGCTGGAGCTCAGAGGGAGCGCATCTGAGTGAGTCCGTGTGTGGGCCCTTTAAGAGGAGCTGCTTGGGGCTCCCGTAGCCTCTGTGTTCCTCAGCAACAGTCCCCACTGGTTTTTACAGCCCGAAGTTGTGAGGACTTCTCTTCCCGGCCCTGGAACCCTGGGCTGGGGGCCTGATGTGGGGCTGGGGGGCCCGATGTGGGGCTGGGACATCTCACTCTTCTGGAAACCTCCACCCCCGAGATGTCCCTCCCGGGTTTAAACCGTGGCATCGGGTCTGGGACTCCGGCGGAGTCTCCGGGATTCAGCCCTGATCTGCCCGCGTCTCCGCTCCTCCTACCCGTCTGGATGCTTGTTTAGTTCCCTGGTTGCAGGGCTTCTGTTCAGCCAGATTTCAGGAGGTTCTGAGTGATGGTGGTTCTGTATTTTAGTTGTAATTTTGGTGTGGTTGTGGGAGGCGGCGGGTACAGTGGTTACCAATGCTGCCATCTTGTTCAAGCACTCCCAATAAAGATATTTTGTTAAAAAAAAGAAAAAAAAAGTCAGCCCTGCCTGGTTTTGCTCAGTGGTTAGAGTGTTGGCCCACAGACTGAAGGGTCCCCGGTTCGATTCCGGCCAAGGGCACGTAACTCAGTTGCAGGCTCCATCCCTGGCCCCAGTCAGGGCCCATGTGGGGAGGCAACCAATTGATGTGTCTCTCTCTTACATTGATGTTTCTCTCTTTCTCTCTCCCTTCTACTCTCTCGGAAAAGCAATGGAAAAAATACCCTCTGGTTAGAATTAAAAAAAAAAAAAAAAAAAAAAGTCAGAGAACTGTTCTAGGTTAAAGGAGACTAAAGAGACATGATAACCAAAGATAATGTGTGATCCATGATTGAAACCTGTGTTTGGAGAATAAAACTGTTGACAAACTACTGGGACAATTGGAGACTATGTATTAGATAATATTGTATCAGTGTTTAATTGCTTAAGTATGATAATGGTATGGTTCTGTAATTTAATGTCCTTGTTCTTCTAAACATGTGTTCAAGTATGTACGAGTGAAATGTCATAATGTCTAAAACTTAGTTTTGTGGGTTTTTTTTTCAAATTATAAGAGAAAGCTTATTTAGAAAGTTACAGCCCAGCCGGGCATGGCTCAGCGGTTGAGTGTCGACCTAGGATCCAGGCAATCAGGGTTCGATTCCCGGTCAGGGCACATGCCCGGGTTGCGGGCTCGATCCCCAGTCGGGGGGCGCGCAGAAGGCAGCCAATCAGTGACTCTCTCATCATTGATGTTTCTCTCTCTCTCTCTCCCCCTCTCCTTTCCTCTCTCTGAAAGCAATAAAGATATATTAAAAAAAAAAAAAGTTACAGAGGTAGTAGAAGTGAGCCAGCTGGGCTGCATAGGCTAAGGAAACAAGCTACAGAGGCAGAAGAAGGGCCATTGGTGCTTAGGAAAGAGAAAGGCAAAGGAAACTAACTTGCATAGGGGGGTGAAGAGGGGGAAGGGAAAGGTGCAGGTGTGCTCCTGAGAGGGAAAGTGTGCAGAAACTTTTTAAAATTTTTTGACTAAAACTTAACAGTGTTTATTTCTGGGAGTTACAATTACATTTTTAAAAATTGTTTTTCTTTATTCTTTATTATATTTTCCAAATAATTGAAACTTTTAAATAGTTCAGTAAAAAAAGAAAATATGTGTATACAGTAGGTCTCCCCTTATCTGTGGTTCTGCTTTCTGCAGTTTCAGTTACCCATGGTCAATTGTGGTCTGAAAATATTAAATGGAAAGTTCCAGAAATAAACATTTCATACGTTTTAAATTGCATGATTTTCTGAGTAGCATGATGAAATCTCGAGCTGTTCCATTCTTTCCCACCTGGGACATGAACCAACCCTTTGTGCAGTGTATCCACTTTGAGTATGCTACCTGCCTGTTAGTCACTTAGCAGCCATCTCAGTTATTAGATTGATTGCCACAGTATCACAGTGCTTGTGTTTAAGTCACCCTTACAGTAGCCTATTGCTATGTCACAGTGCCTAAGTCATTCACCTCATTTCATCCTATCACGTAGGCATTGTATCATCTCACATCATCACATCATCACAAGAAAAGGATGAGTAGAATACAATAAGGTATTTGAGACAGAGAGATCATATTTACACAACTTTTGTTACAGTATATTATTAAAATTGTTATTGTTAATCTCTTACTGTGCCTAATTTGTAAGTTATGTATCATATGTGTGTATAGGGAAAATATATACATATATATAGGGTTTGGTACTATGTATGGTTTCAGGCATCCACTGGGAGTCTTAGAACATATCCCCCCCCCCCAGATAAGGGGGGACTGCTGTATAGAGGAAAGCAAACATTGCAAAATGGTAGCTAAAAATGACAGCTTTTGAACTAAAGAATGTCTGAGTACAATGTACTAAGGTTTCAAATTTTTCAAAATAAAAGGTGAGGGAGAACAAAAGGGAAAAGGGCCCTTGGATTTTTGGTACATTGTTAATTGGTCTTATGGTCACAGGTTTATATTTTTCCCGTAGGAGGGACTACTCCCTCCAAAAGGAGTCTTTTCAAGATCCTAAGAAGAAACGAGAACAATCAGGGAAGATTTTTGGCAGGTATAGGATATGATGTGATGCCTGAGAGAGTAGGGCCTTTGTTGAGGAGGATTGTCTTGGTATGATCGGGTTTATACAGGGTAAGGATTGGCTTTAGGGGGTCTCAGAATGCTCCTTCCTCCAGGTTTAGAAGGCAAGGTTACTGCTTAGCATTGCTAATTATGCAAGGATTGGGTCTTTTAGGCCCTGTCCAGAAGAAGAAACTCCTCCATGAATATAGGACAGGATTTCATGAGTCAAACATTGATCACCTGTAGATGTTAGCACCAGAAGATGGGGGCCCTATGATGTTGAGAAGGCTGGTTTGATTTGCCTGGCTACCATTCTTGGCTATATTTATAGTATTCTGATTTTTAATCATCATAACATTTCTAATAACAATATCTGTCTCTATTGAAGTATGTATTATATATCAGGTACATGATCTCCATCTAATTATCATAGAGACTTTGCAAGGAAGGTTTGTTAATCCATGAAGAAACTGAAGCCCCAAAAGCTTAGGTGACCTTGTATTACACAGCTAATCAGTGGTAGAGCTAGGATTTGAACATACATCTGTTTGGTTCAAAAGTCCTAGCAATCCAAGTCAATGGATTGTTTTACCCATGTCAGCATGAACTGGTGACTTTATTTCTTCAGAAAAGTCTACTGTTAAATAGTCTAATCTGGGTAGTACAACTTTTCCTTCCAAATCTCTCTCATGCCTTTGAAGAAATTGTGACTTTCTCTGCCCTGCTTGAGTTTGAGTGGTATCTGGGTTATCAGATGCTTTGATAGGCAATACCAAGTTGTCAGCGGTTTGAATGTGGAAAGTAAAGTATCTGAGAGCTGCTGTGGTGCAGGGTAGTGAAATATGGATAAGCTGGGAGTCAGAGATGGGGTAAGGGTATTCTTATTATCTCCTTGATGTGCATACTACAGTAATGCATATCTGTTACAGAAAATTGAGAAAATGAAGATGAAAATCACTCATAACCCTGAGACCCAGTGATAATGTTAACATTTTGCAACATCTTCTAAACCTTTCTCTATGCTTATAAATAGGTACAGATATACAAAATATCTAACAAAATGGGCTCTTTCTATACATTATCTCTTTTTTCACTTGATGGTATCTTGTGCATACCTTTCCACAGCAAAAAACACAGATCTTATAACCTTATGGATTGTTTAAATTGGGTGTACATGATAATTTAATCCTCTTTTGTTAGACATTTAGTTTGTTTTTAAGAACTTACATGCTTTTGTTAGTGTCCACTTCTGTACAGAGGAAATTCTAGTGTCATAAAATGTTGGTGCTTGTTAAAAAGGCTTTAGCAAAAATGGTAGTGAAATCAGCAAACTTCCAGAATCAAATCAACCCTTGGTGCTTCCTTGAAACCAGAGGAGGAAAAACCATTGGGAAAGTACAAGGAACTATCCTAAGTTGTTGCCTCTTTGATTGAAAGGGAATTGTTGGCCCACAAGTATCTTCAAAGTTCCTTCTGAGTGCCAACCCTGTGCAGGCTGTAATACAGAAGGAGAACTTGACACCATGGCGCTTGCCCTCAGCTCCATGTTTGTTGAGATGTGTTTAATTCTCATGAAGTAAAATGACTGATGTAAGACCATATACATTAAATGGTTAAGCTGTTTTGATCCAGCTGTGCCATCAAGATCTGAGAGGAGAGGAAGCCCTACAAGGAGTGTGGTGTTCAGAGAAAGCTTCAAGGAGGAGGCAGCACTTGAAAATGGGTAGAAAGTGCCTTGGAGGTGAGAGAGACAGCTTGAGCAAAGGAATAGAGGCAGAAGTGAGCATAATGTGTCTATATTATGATGAAGCAATTTTTTTAGAAAGATTAAACTGGCAGGGGTATCCAGAATAGAATGGAAGAGAGAGTCCTGTTCAGAAAAGTAAACCAAGGTGGGAGTATGGTAACTCAGACAAAAGATGATATGGTTGGTTCTCATAGCAGTGAAATTGAGCAGGGAGACAGGATGGGGGCAAAAGGACAAAAACCAAAAGCAATTCAAAGGCAAAGAATCTCAAGGACTTGGTAGATAAAGAAAGTGGGTAAAGGCCCTGGCTGGGTAGCTCAGTTGGTTAAAGTTTCATCCGATATGCTAAGGTTGCAGGTTTGAACCCCAGTCAGGGCACATACAAGAATCAACCAATGAATGCATAAATAAGTGGAACAACAAATCAATGTGTGTTTTTTGTTCTCTCTCTCTCTCTCTCCCTTCCTCTCCCTCCCTCTCTCTCTCTTTCTCTCTCTCTCTCTCTCAAATCAATTAAAAAAAATTTTTTTTTAAAGAGAAAATGGGTTAGAGTCGACTGAGACCCATTAAGACTGAGTGATCGAAGAATGCCAGTACTGTGAACAGAGATGAGAAAGTGGAGAGAGAAAGCTAGTTTTGAAGAAGGAAGCTGAATTGCAAATATGTGGGGTCTGAGGAGATGATGGGACACAGAAGGGGAACAATTCAGTCAGCAACTGGTTATTGATTGTAAGGTGTAGATGAGATGAAAACAGCTAGAGACTTGTGCTCAGTTGACACTTTCAGTCTGGATATGAGAGCTGAAGCCCTGGTAATAAGTCCCTGAGAGGGTCTGTAACAGTGCTTCTCAGACTGTAACCTACCTACAGTTTCACCTGGAGACCTTGTTAACCTGAGGATGTGATTTCTAACACTCCCATACTGTGCTTGTGCTGGTGGTCCAGGGGGCCACTCTGAAGAGCAGGGATATAGCTAGAAGAGCAGGGAGCCAGTATCTGTGCTTTGGAGTTAGTAGTTGGGAGAAAAACAGAAGAGCTCAAGAAGGAAAAGAAGTGCTTCAGAGTCATGTACCTTGTCTCCTCCTTTCATTCCAGGTCCTTTGGAGAATACCTATCGTGATTTCTGGCTCATGGTATGGGAGCAAAAAGTCTTGGTGATTGTCATGACCACTCGGTGAGTTCATCCCTTTTCTTCCCACTGCTCTCTCCCCCTACCCTCTTCCCAAGCATGGGTGATTGAAACGAGGAATTTAGCTTTTAGACACAATGAGGATTACGAAAGCCATGGTTAACGGTTTAAGATGTTACAGCTTTTTTTTTTTTTTTTAAACCGCCCTAAAGTTAACACAGCCAGTCCGGCTAGGCATGGCTCAGCAGTTGAGCTTCGACCTGGGATCCAGGTGATCGGGGTTTGATTTTGGTCAGGGCACATGCCCAGTTACGGGCTCGATCAATGACTCTCTCATCGTTGATGTTTCTATCTCTCTCCCTCTCCTTTCCTCTCTCTGAAATCAATAAAGATATATTTAAAAATAAAAAAAGTTAACACAGCCAGGGTATGGTGATTGATAGATCTAACTTCTCAAAGCTTTAATCCATAGCTCTGGTGACCCTGTGCCAGTTAGAGCCTATTCTGAGGTCCTGGCCTTATCCACTAAAGGAAGTATTAGGAAACATGGGACAGTTCACTTTTAATCTCCATACTGGCTTCTGAATTACCAGTTTCCCTTTGTTCTCCCTTTCCTTGCTACTTTTATCATTTTCTGCTCAGTTAGGCAGGAAGCTCTTGAAAAGAATATTTTTGAAAGTTTGGTGTACATATCTGCCAAACCTTCAGGAATTACTATTTCATTAGTATTGCCGCTATCATTATGATAATTATAACCTATTTCAGATGAGGAGAAAAGAATTAATGAGAGTGTTAGCTCATTTCCCTTTCTCATGTCACTGGTTACAACCACCTTTGATTTGGAGAGGAGGTTGACAAAGTACCACCTTGGAGTACCTTGGAGCCACTGAAGTATAGTGAGGTGGACTTCAGGCCTTTATACAAACCTCGGGCTGGCATCTCAGGAGCTGTGCCTTTCCTACCCTTCTATCACCCATGGGCCCTCATTGGGGAAGAAAATGAACAGTGACTGAGATACAAGGCAGAGAGGTCAATCCGGCCTACCACACTTTCTCTACTGTCTTTCTTTGTCCACCCAGTATTTATCTCAGATATGTGAGGAGTACCCAGAGGAAAGGGGCCAAATGATATAGTAAGTGCTCAATAAAAGTCTGCTAAAAGAGTATATGCAGAAATTTTTGCTGTTTCATCTGTTTAGAATGAAGATTTTCTTCCTTTACTGCCAAAAAGCAAGGGTATAAGTTAAAAGCAGTGCAATAAATGATACTGCTGCCTAGGGGTAGAGCAGGTCCTAGGGTGGGCATGGTTAGTGCTGTGGAGAGGAAGGGCAGAAGGCTTACCTTGCTCTGTGTGTCTTCAGCTTTGAGGAGGGCGGCAGGAGGAAGTGTGGCCAGTACTGGCCTTTAGAAAAAGACTCTCGGATCCGATTTGGCTTCCTCGCAGTGACCAATCTAGGCGTGGAGAACATGAACCATTATAAGAAAACAACGCTAGAAATTCATAACACAGAGGTAAATCCAGGTTTCTGTTTTCTCACTTTTTTGAAGCTAAGGGAGAACCATTACTGTAAAGAAAATATCCAAAGGGAACAGGCAGGATTTCAGGGGCATAAGTTACTTCATTTTTCTGGAAATAGGATGAGGATATTCAGTTCAGAGCTAATATAATCATATTATCTCAAGACAACAGTGGCATTACTTAGGAATAAAACTTAGAAGAAGTCTGGATCCTATAAATACGAACTCTGCCCTTTCCAGACATTAAACCTTCCCTTTGCGTTTGTAGAGGAATAGTTGTGGAGAAAGTTGAGGGTGGTAGGGATCCCAGGGCGTCAAGAATTAGAAAAGCTGAAGTCAGTCAGGGCAAGCAGAAGTGACCTCACTAACTTTTTCTTCTTTTTCTATTCAAGGAGCGACAGAAACGCCAGGTGACTCACTTTCAGTTCCTGAGCTGGCCTGATTATGGTGTCCCCTCTTCAGCAGCTTCCCTCATTGACTTCTTGAGAGCAGTCAGGAGCCAGCAGAGGCTTGCTGTCAGCAGCATGGGAGCACACTCCAAAGGGCAGTGCCCTGAGCCACCCATTGTGGTCCACTGCAGTGCAGGCATTGGCAGGACAGGTAATAATGCACCTGAAGCAGCTGTCAGAGTCTCTGGAGGCAGTAAAGGTTGGGGAGGAATAACCAAACTCTTCATTGCCAGATTGAGAGAATTTGTCCATTGATGGTGAATTGCCGTGAAAAATTCTTCTTTAATGTCCTTTTGGTATCCCTAGTGCTAAGTGTATGTCCAGAATATACACTTCACAAACCAAGTTCTCTGGGGGCTGATGCTTTATAAATTCCATTGGCATGATTATCATCTGACTCTATCACTGTCACCTGGGTGTCCCAGAGAGCTCAGCTGGGCTATTGCTTCCTTCCCATCTCTCTCCCTGGGGAGGTCCCCACCTTGTTTGTGTCTCCATTCTGGATCCAGTTAGCAACTTAGCCTTAAGGGGATGGGCATTGCAGGGACTGCTAGCATTTCTCATCAGAGATCCCTTTGGGAGAAGGTCAGGAAGAATAGGTTTGTGGTAGGCTTTTGTGGAAAAAGTGTAGACTCTGAAAATTAGGGCCCAGGTGTAGGAATGCTGTTGTTTTATTTGGGATTGTCACTTTCCTATCTATTTTTCCTGCTATCTCCATATATGTGCTGAGAGACAAGAGGCCTTCTCATTTCTCTGGCCTCCAACACTCACAGTGCCCCCCTCCTCGACTCCTTTCAGGCCTGAGGCCCCTTGCCTTAAATTCAGTCATCCTGCCTGGCTGGGCGTGGCTCAGCGGTTGAGGGTTGACCTAGGATCCAGGTGATCGGGGTTTGATTCCCAGTCAGGGCACATGCCCGGGTTGTAGGCTCGATCCCTGATTGGGGGCATGCAGGAGGCAGCCCATCAATGACTCTCATCATTGATATTTCTATCTCTCTATCCCTCTCCTTTCCTCTCTCTGAAATCAATAAAGATATATTTAAAAATAATAATAATAAATTCAGTTATCCAGTCCTGCCTGGGTTATTTGGAAGAGGGAGGGGGAGAGAAAAGGTAGACCAGGTATGACCACTTCCTTTCTTCCTTCAGGTACCTTCTGCTCACTGGACATCTGCCTGGCACAATTGGAGGAGCTTGGTACTCTTAATGTGTTCCAGACGGTGTCCCGCATGAGGACCCAGAGGGCCTTCAGCATCCAGACCCCTGAGCAATACTACTTTTGCTACAAGGCAATCCTGGAGTTTGCAGAAAGGGAGGGCATGGTGCCATCCAGCCACAACCTCCTGGCCATGGAGAGTCAGTAACTGTCCCATGAGCCTCCCACCTGCTAGCCAGCCTTCTTCCTTAAACTACCCTGGACACCGCTGAGCCTATAGGTTGCCATCAGTTACACTGAAGCCATGGACCAACCTCTTTCTTGTGTCTCCTGGTGCACGGAAGGCAGCCTTTTCCTTTGGCTAGATAGAAGTGGTGAAAATGTTATTAGAAAGGGCCAGCAGCAATGTGTTCTTAATTCCTAGCACCTGCCATTGAACTGTGCCTTATTAAAACCAAATTGTGGCTGTTGATTTTTGCCAGGGGCTCCAAGCAAGGTAAGTGGGAAAGGAAACTCTCTCTTCCCTTTCCCAATGCCTTCTCCTTCTGGAGGTCTCTTTCCCATTCCTTCCCTTTGCTAGGATTTTATGGGGAGGTTTGGTGAGCATCCACCTTCCTTCCCAGAAAGCTTGACCAAGTTATATGTTCTAGAGAACGTCCTGAGTGCCAAGCACGTTTATACCTAGAGCATATATTCTAGTCTTTTCTGTTATTCTGTATGTGTGTGTGTGTGTATGTGCACTTATGTGTATGGGTCCATCTGTATGTGTGTATATAATATATACTGTATGTGATAATATGGTGGTATTCTATAAATACATATACACAGAGTTACTCCTTTGTAGAAGTTCCTGGGGCCCCATGTTGCAGTTCAGGACCCATTGCTTCTTGTGCCCTACTGTTTATCCTGGGCTAGCTGGGGTGGGGATCATGCTTCCTGTTGTCAGACCGCAGAGTGGTGGAAAAGGACACAGGCACATCTACTCTTCATGTTCCTTCCACAGGCCTTCATCTTTACATAAAGGCTTATCTCTCTTCAGGATACTATCTGTTGGAGCTGAAAATACTGGTTTGTGGTGACACTGGTTTAATTCAACATGGATTGCCCTTACCAAATTATTTTCCTCCATTTGTTTTGATGATTTTGGTAATAGAACTCCACTGTGATTTTCTTTCCTCTTCTTATCACTTGGGGATTGGAGACTGGGAGTAGAGATAAACCCACTGAGCAGCCAGAGCCAAAAGCAATTGATTCAGTGTCTTGGAAAGAGAAGGAGCTCAGGTATGAGAAAGGAAACTACTTTGAGAATCTTTCCCTGGGAGAATGAGCTAGGGGCCCTTTTTCTTTTGTCAAAAGGTTCCTTTCCTTATGCAGCTTGGCCCTGTCCACTCAGATGCCTATTTCTTTCTGCCTAGCAGCCTGCCAGACCCTGGAACTCAAGCTGGGTGAGATCTGTGTCAGTAAAAATCTTAACTCCTGGCTGGATGAGGCAGTTCCCTGCAATTACTATTTCCCTTCCAGTCACTCAACCTGTCCCTCTCTGCTCCCAGCTTACCCAGCCTGATGTGCCAGGGATGGAATCGAGTCCCCAGTCTACATTCCCAAGAAAATCCCAGGAACTCCTAAAGCTTCCCCCATCACAGATGAGGTTAGCAGCTGATCAGACCTCAATACTTTTATACTGTAATAAGCTCTTGAATGTATAGGTTCCTATTTTACAGTCTTTTCATTTTATATTTAATATCTGTGGACTGAGTCAGATTCAGAAAATAATTGTAAATGTTCATATTCAGTATCTTACACTGATAGTTTTGTATTTACATATAAATATACTGACATGATCAAATCCTTATAGCTTCATCAATTTAGTAGTAGTGTGGGGCTGGGAAGGTGAGGAGGGGGTCTAAAAACTGGTCTGGGAGGGATGGGGAGGCAGGGAGGGACCCAAGGCCTCGGTATCAGACTTTTAGTTCTGAAAGCCATCTACCTTGCCCGTAGGCCAATACCTTAGCTCTGGGCAGAAATAGAGAACCAGCACCAGTTGAGTGCTTATTGGGTGCCAATCTCTGTGCTTGGTGCTTTTCCTCTCATTACCTCATTCAAACCTTACAACAATCCAATGAGAGATTATTCTCCCTCCATTCTGTTTCTATATAGATGAGGAAGGTAAGGTCCAGAGGATTACAGTGATTTGCTCTAGAACTAGAGCCAAAGTTGGCCTGCTTATAAAGGCTGTGGTCTCTTCACTTCATTGCTGTCTCAAAGATTATTGTTGTCTTTTGAAACTACTTGATTTTTTTGTAGTTCTCTTTCAGAGCATAAACAGTTCTTAAAATTCCAGGTAATTGATCTTGAGCTCGTGTTGCATGTGGTAGACAAGAAGGGTGACAGAATTGGTGACTCATTCTCCCAAATAGGACCTCCTTGTGTAGGGTCTTCAAGTCTGTAGAGTACCAAAGGGGTCCTTCTTCCAGAGACACTCAATGCTTTATGGGTACACTGGTGTTTGTGGGACGATCTTGAGTCATTTGCATCTCTCTCTTAGGATGCAACTAGAGGCTTTATCCATGTAGGACCACTCCCGAGGCCATATAGCTACTCCCGTTGACAGTCTGCCCAGCTGGGACAGTTCTGGCGTGGAGTGTGAAAATATTGGGGTGTTTTTAAACTGTTTAAAGTGCTTTCTAGGTACTATTTCATTCACCCTCAAAACAACCTTTTGAGGTAAGTATTGACAGAAGAAAAAAACTGAATCACAGAAAAATTAATTTGCCACTAAGAACCTGGACCATCTGACGCCAAAGTACCTGCTGTTGATGTTAACTTTTACACTATATTCCCTCTAGGGATTCATATCCTGATTTGCCAACAAATTTTTCTTGAGTTTCTGACTTAAGAACTGAACTGTAGAGAAAATGATTAAGCTAGTCCTTTTTTGGATGACCCTTTTATTCTCTTGGGGGCAAGCAAGCATAAGAGGTGAACAGAGATACCTGAAATCTGGGAGATCAGAGAGGGTAGGGGTTTGGTGAAGTGTATAGGAAACAGGATTAAACGATAAAGGATCTGGAAGAGGTAGACTTGAACTGTCATTTATTTGAAGAGGCTATAGCACGTTGCTTTGTAAATTCAGAAGTAACACATGAGCTCCCCCTTGCATGTCTGAGGGTTGGTGAGGTTATCACTTTTAGAGCTCCATAAAGATGCAGATTGCTGGATCCTGCCCAGTACATGATTAAGTGACTGACAGAATGAACCAGGTATTGGAAGCACTGTCTTTGTCCATGTCCCTGACTCTGAGGAAGGACAGCAAATTGATGTCTTACAAATCTGAAAGAAAGGGCTCAACAGCCTCATTGCCATGGTTTACTTGTAGCGTTTTACCATTGGGAAGATAATCAATACTCAGTGTGAGCCTATCTGTTTTAGATATTAAAGGAGGTAAAGAAAGAGTAAGACAGAGAAGCAGCCCTGAATCTGTTCAGGAAGTTAAACCTTTCACAAGGGATTTGGTGAACAAAGCAAGAGAACCCACAATCAACTGCTGGATTGTACAATTGAGAACACAAGATGAAAAAGTGTACAGGAGACATCAGAGCAGTGGCAGCATAAAAGATACCCTTGGCCTCTCCCCCTGAAATTTCAACAAATGAACCAACTGTAATTCAACAAAGAGGCACACAGAGGCACGCCTGAGAAACCTGCACATTGAAACATCTCAAGGTGGGAAACTGGAAATAAATTGGGAGATAAGAGGGGAGAAGAGCTCAGACAGCCCTCAGACACAGCCCTGTAGCTGGGAGAGAAGAGGGAGCCGGCGGCAGCAGGAACTTCCTTTGGCTGGGAGGAAAAGAGTGCTGTGGGGGGTAGTCCAGCAGGACAAGTAGAGTGAACAGTTACTGAGCCAGCAGATTCCTGACAGAGTGTGGGGTTCTGCCTGCAGATACTCACTGTCCGCGGTGATGTTTCTGACAAAGAAAAAGAATCACAGAGCCCTGCCACCCTCTGGATTCCCAAAACTTGCCTCCCGTTGCCCTCTGTGTTGGGTCAAGGCACATTTTATGTTTAAACCAAGAGTTATTGCAGTGGAACTGCTGTTTCTGTCTAACTGATCCTGGGTTTTGGTGCTTGGGGTGGGACTCCATGGAGGTCTAGGGCTGCCATTATGTTGATGGGAAAACAGACCCCACCCCCCAGCAGCATAGCTGTACTGCCTTACGGAAGCTGTGGAGGTCAAGTATGGGAAATCACAGAGAAAAAATTTTGCAATTCAATGCTATCTACTAGACAATAGTAGAAAGATCTCGTCAGAGAAAGCTGCTAGAAAAGGGATATTTATGCGTAGACAGAGGAGAGGAGCAAATAACATGAATAACCATGGTAACAAGGATGACCAGAAAGAAAATGAAAAATCCCCAGAAAGCAAGCTGGAACACATGGAAATATGTGATATAAATGACAGATTTAAAGATTGCAGTTGTGAAAATAATGAGATGCGAGAAAATACAGATAGGCAATTCAGTGCACTCAGAAAACATCAATGAATAAAACGAATACTTTACAAAAGAGATTGAAACTTTAAAAAAGAACCAATCAGAAATCCTGGAAATGAAGCAGGTAATTAAGAAGATTAGGAATGAGCTACTGAGCATAGAAGACAGAGCCAACCAGACAGAGGAAACAAATAGTGATATCGAAGATAGGAATCTAGAAATGACACAGAGGGAAGAAGAGAAAGACCTGAGTATAAAAAAAAAAGAAAGAGCTCTATGAGAACTATCAGATTCCATTTAAAAAAAGCAATATAAAAATAATAGGCATGCCAGAAAAGGAAAAGAGGGAGAAGGGAACAGAGAGCCTACTCAAACAAATAGTGGATGAGAACTTCTCAAACCTATAGAAAAAACTAGATCCTCAAATTCAGGAAGCAAACACAATACCTAGTTACCTCAATCCAGAGGCCCTCTCCAAGGCACATTGTATTAAAACTGTCAAAAAGTAATGACAAAGAAAAAAATTCTCAAAGCAGCCAGGGAAAAGAAAAGAAGTGACCTACAAAGGAAAACACGTCAGAATGTGATCTGACTTCTCAGCAGAAACTACAGGCCAGAAGAGAGTGGAACCAAATATTCAAATGTCTGAAAGAGAAATTACCAGCTACGAATAATATATCCAGCAAAATTATTCTTTAAATATGAAGGGGAAATAAAGATGTTCCCAGACATACAGAAGCTGAGAGATTTTATCACCAGAAAACCTCCACTGCAGGAAATACTCAAGAGAGTTATTCTACCTGAAACAAAGAACATAAGGTCACAACACTATGAATAAGATCACCAAAAACAGGAATCATCATAAACAGGGATAATTTGTGATGACAAAAACATAAAGGGCGAGGAAGTAAAGGTCTGAACAGGGAAAGGAGGATGAACATCAGGTGCACTCAAAAGATAAAAAACTATTGTATATATGCAACTTTATTTTTTATAAACCTGATGGTAACCACACACAAAAATCCCCAATCCAGGTCACATAGTTTAAAAAAAGAGGACACAGAGGAAACAAGCATGAAACACGACCAAACATAGAGGTACAAAGGAAAAGAACCAATGGAGGCACAGAGCTACTAGAAAACAAAAGATGAAATGGCTATAGGAAATCCTCATATGGCAATAATTACCCTAAATGTGAATGATCTGAATTCACCCATAAAGAGGCACAGAGTAGCAGAGTGTGTCTAGAGGAGACACATCTAAACTGCAGAAACAAAGGTAAATTCAAAGTAAAAGGGTGGAAAATGATTATCCAAGCAAATAACATCCAGAGAAAACCAGGTGTAGTCAAACTTATATCTGACAAAATAGACTTCAAGACAACAAAGATAACAAGAGACAAAGATGGACACTGTATAAAGGGGACGCTACATCAAGAAAACGTAACACTTCTTAATATATATGCACCCAACCAGGGAGCACCAAAATATATAAAGCAACTACTCACAGAACTAAAGGTAGAAACAGATCAAAACACAATCATAGTTGGGGACCTTAATATGCCATTAACAGCTCTAGATAGATCAATCAAACAAAATCAGTAAAGAAATATCAGCCTTAAATGAAACACTAGACCAAATGGACATAATTGACATTTGCAGAGCCTTTCATCCCAGAACATATTATACTTTCTCCTCCAGTGCACATGGAACATTCTCAAGGATAGGCCATATGTTGGGTCACAGAACTAGTATCAACAAATTCGAGAAGGTTGAAATTATACCAAGCATATTCTCTGACCACGATGCCTTGAAATTAGATATTAACTGCAAAAAGGTATTAAACACCATATTACTAAAAAATCACCGGGTCAAAGAAGAAATAAAAGATGAGATCAAAAGATATATCAAGGCAAATGAGAATGACAGTACAGCATATCAAAACTTTTGGGATGCAGCAAAAGCAGTAATAAGAGGGAAGTTTATATCATTATGGGCCTATCTCAAGTAAACAACCTAACATCACATCTCAAGGAACTAGAAGAACAAAAGCAACAAGTAAACAACCTAACCACATCAGGTTTTTTTGTTGTTTTTTAAATTTTATTGATTTCAGAGAGAGGAAGGGAGAGGAAGAGAGAAATAGAAACATCAATGATGAGAGAGAGTCACTGATCCGCTGCCTCCTGTACGTCCCCCACCCCCCCACTGGGGATCGAGCTCACAACCCGGGCATGTGCCCTGACCGGGAATCGAATCATGACCTGGATCACAGGTCGATGCTCGACCACTGAGACAAGCCAACTGGGCCTAACATCACATCTTAAAGAACTAGAAAAAAGAACAAAAGCAAC